TGACCCATTTCCCAGTGCATGACCACGCCTGGGCTGTTCTAGTGGTCGTAAGCTCCCTGTTTTAGACAGTGGGACATCCTTGTCCCGTTCTCATGAGCTTGTGAGCCTGGTGGCGGGACCCGCCTGTTTCTCGCAGCAGCAAGTGTGCCCAGGGGCTAACGAGCTCCAGATGCCTCCAATAAAGGATTTTAATGCTCTGTGTAATGTGTGTGCAAGTAGCCAGGTGGAGTGGAAGGCGGGAGCCGAATGCTAGAAGAAATTACACAACTGCTCCGCCATTTTGAACTGAGAACTGGAACGGGACTGTGGAGTGCAACATGGGAGGGAGGCGTGTGTGAGGGCGTGGGGGACAGTGTATGAGGAGGACAGTGTGTGTGTGGACAGCATGAGGGAGAGTGTGGGGGGGATAGTGTGTGGGTGTGGGAGACAGTGTATGAGGACAGTGTGTGTGTGTGTTTGTGTGTGTGTGGACAGTGTGGGGGGATAATGTGGAGGGGATACTGTGTGGGGGTGAGGAATAGTGTGTGGGTGTGGGGGACAGTGTGTGGGTATGGGTACAGTATGTGGGTCTGGGGGACAGTGTATAGGTCTGGGGTTTGTGTGAGTGTGTGGGTCAGTGTTTGGGTGTGGTGGACAGTGTGTGGGTGTGGGGGACAGTGTGCGAGACTGGGGGAACGGTGTGTGTGTGTGTGGAGGATGGTGTGTGGGTATGGAGACAGTGTGGGGTGTCTGGGGGACAGTGTGTGGGTGTGGGGAGAGTGTTTGGGAAACACTGATGTTTGGGGAGTGTGGGGGATATCATGTATACATATGTGGTATGTCACAAAAAATATGTATGAAGAGAAAACTCAAATCCCCATTTTAGTGGTTAGAGACAAAACCCTGATTTTGGGGACCGGTGCAGGGCCTCAATATGAGCCCCTTGTTGGGAATTCCTGGGAGTCTCAGGGAAGAGGCAGCTGAGCATCCGACTTGGGGTCCAGGTGGGGTCACAGACTGAAGCCCACAGCCAGCCCCAGGCAAACAGCCCTCCTGGTGCCCCTCCATCTTCCCCTGGGGCTAGGAAAAGCCCTTGACTTCCCCTTTGCTCTGTACCTACCCCCCCACCCCGTGGGGTGACCTTGACCTCAGGCGGGGGTTGCCCTGTGTCACTTACCACCCCCTTTCTGACCCACGTGTGCTTCAGCCCACCCCCCACCCCCAGTCAGCCCAGCATCCTGAGAGCACTCTGTGCTCTAGGCTTAGAGGACACTCAGCACCCCACCCAGTCTAACCCCTCCCCGCCGCCCATGCCACCAGCCCTGTTGATCCTCCCTCACCCTTGAACACTGCAGGGGCCTCCCTGGGGCCCTGTGTGCTCCTCAGGAGCTGCCAAGCAGCAGAAACTGCAACAAGAACGTGTTCCGGGGGATGGTGTTCACTCAGACAGCCTAGTGGGCACAGCCCTGCTCTGGGGTACCGGGGGAAGAAGCAGCTACGGAGGGAACCAGGGAACTGCAGCCACATTGGGCCCACACTGCTCACAGCCCTGAAATCTAAGGGTGGGGACACCCCAGGTCTTTCCTGTTTATCATGGGGATTTGCCACTGCAGTGCACACTTGGAGATGCTAATGGTGATGAGGAGGTGACCCACCCAGTGGCAATACTGGTCAATAATTAACCACACTTCCGAGGTGCTGGGAGGAGGCTTCAGCTTCCCGTTGGCACCAGTGGGTTGGGCTCATGAATGCCCATCCACATAGCAATTCCTGAGTGGCCAGAACCTATCCATCCTTATTCCAAACACAACTCCTTCTGGGGGCCGGAGAGATAGGACAGTGGGTAGGACATTTGCCTCACATGCAGCCAACTCAAGTTCAATCCCCGGCATATCCTATGGTCCCCCAATCACTGCCAGGAGTGATCCCTGAGTGCAGAGCCAGGAATAATCCTTGAGCATCACCGGGTGTGGCAATAAAGCAAACAAACCAAACTAAAACAAAGAATCACAGCTCCTTCCGGTCCTCCAAGGAACCCTGAGACCCAGTGTGCTTTTGTCTTGGAGGTTCAAGAGGAGGGTCACTATCCTCAAGACAGTTAACTAGAGCCCAGAGAGATCATAGAGTATCCAGACACGTGCCTTGCTTGGCCAACTTGGGTTTGATTCTTGGCACCCCAAATGGTCTACTGAGTCGGCCAGGTGTGATCTCTGAGCACAGAGCTAAGAGTAAGCCCTGAGCACCACTGGGTGTGTCTCCCCAGACAAAAGCAAAACAAAACAAGACAGGACCAGAGAGCCAAGTCTGTGGCATGCATGGGCCCAGGCGGACTAGAGACTCTTTAGGTCCGAGAGGTTGAACAGGTGATTGCCAGAAACTTGCCCTCACTGGCCGTGGAGCTTTGCTCTGTGAGTGGCCAGGAGACTGACCCAGGGTCCCCATCAGGGTTGTGATGGTAAAGTGGCTTTCCAGAAGGAAAAGGTCCTGATTTAGAGTTTCTTGCTTTCAGTGGTGTAAATACACCCATGGAGCCCAGTGTTTTCCTGTTGGTTCAAAACTGGTTCAATATTCTTGAACAATTAGTTCCTGCTCACTGCCCACTATGGCAGAACCTTTTCAGAGCTCCCAAAATGTTCAGAGCCCCCATACTGTTCTATACTCTCTTTCTTTCCTTCCTTGGCCACACCCGATGGCATTAGGGCTTACTCCTGGCTCTGCACTCAAGGATACTCCTGATTGAGACTTGGGGACCATATGGGGTGAGGGGAATTGAACCTAGGCCAGCTGCGTGCCAGGTCGATGCCCTCCCCCACATACTATATCTCCGGCTACATCTCCTGTCTTTCTTTGCAAAAAGCTCCTCTCCACCCTCTGAAGTTTGGCCATTTAGGTGCTGCTGTGTCTGAACCCTGGCTGTCTCCCTCACTGCTGAGGGGGCAGATGGGCAGTGATTTTACCAAACTTAGCACCAGTCCAGTCCAATAAAATACCACCACCTGGGTCCCAGGAGCCACTAGACCACAGCAATGGGGTGATGGGACTTGAGTGTCCGTGATGACATTAGAAAACCACACTGGGGCACATCTAACAGTTTCCCAGCTGCCACACCACCACACCTGTCCCTCAGCCTCATGCCAGCCTTCTCATTCACCACCATGACCAACATTGTAGGCTGATGATACCAGGGACCCAGGAAGTCATGAGGTCAGTTCCCTCGGTCACGGGACAAGACCCATCCCAGAAGCTTGCGTGTATCCTCAGAAGGGGCTCCCAGGTCTTACGGGTGGCAGGACCCCTGAGTTTTGGTAGTTGCTGTTCTGTATTTTCTGGGAGATCTGTCTGCCCCTGACCCCTTTCCAGTGTGCCCACCCTGTTCATGGCTCCTAGAGTGACACCACAGCCCCCCTGAGCCCGGAAAAATAGCACTGACCTGCTGGTGGAAGGGGCCGAGATGACGTTTGGACACTGGCTCTGTCTGTGTGGCCGTGGACTCGGAGGGGCTTCTCCAGAACTGGGCTGAGGTGCCTCTGTGACTCACCAGGCACTGGGGAACCACAGCCCTGGTCAGCTCAGGGTCAGGAAAAGCAACCCAGAGCCACACATGTGCCACCAACTCTGGCTTCCCTCTCAGCGTAGTGTCCTGCGGGGCCCAGGGCTCAGGCCGGGCCTCACTGCCCCTCTCACAGCTACCTGCCGGGCATGTGTGTGCCTCACTTTCTGCTTTGTTGCTGGAGAGCCGAGCGAACAAAACAGCCCAGCACACCACACACACACACACACACACACACACACACACACACGCACACACACTCAGGAGAGAAGGTCACAAGGGGAATCACACAGGCATAGGTTCAGAGCCCCAAACTGCAGTGCAGGGCCGGTGTGAAATCCCACGGGTCTGCTTTGGGTCTCCATGGGTCGGTTCTGCACTCCCTACCCCTTGAGGGAGGCCACACAGACTGTCTCCTCTGGCCGACGTGTCCCAGGCCCTCACTGCTGACCTGGCCATCATGGTGGTGTTCGGCCTCTCAGCCAGGAGCCATCTTCCCCCAGGCTCTTTCCATAAACAAGACCAGGAGCAGGTGGGCAGGGGTTGCGGTTCAGGGCCAGGGGCTCTTGGAAGGTTTCTGCAAGATGAGAGAGAGCTGGGTGGGCGAGGCTGGAGCGGCGGGTTGGGGGTGTGAGCGGGCCGCCTGGAGGAGGTGCACAGCCACATCCGCGGCCCCAGCGTCCACTCCTAGGCCTTTCAAAGCTGCCCCAGCCCACTTCAGGGCCTTAATGAGGACGCCTGGACCTGCCCGGAAAGGGCTGGCTCTGAGTAAGGCGTCAGCAACAAGGGGAAAGTCCTGGGGCTATTGAGTCCATGGACAATCCATGTGTGTGTGTGTGTGTGCATGTGTGTGTGTGTGCATGTGTGTGTCTGTTGTGTGTCCTCATTAAAGAAACGGTTTCTAAGCATTCTCACGGACCCAGCACCTTCATGTGTCTCCCTCTCCAGGGCTTGGAGCACATTCATCTCGTGTCTCACATGCCACAAGGTTGGATGAACGTGAGCCCCGTCCACTTGACCTGTCCACCCCAACCACGTGACCCAAGTGGTCAGTGGGGGCACTGAGGACAAAGGGTCTCATCTGTCTGGGAGCCTCCGGTCCCTGCCACCTCTTTGCTCCTCTGGCTGATGACGAAGACCTGGATGTCCTAACACACTCCATGTCCTCATCTTGTTGTTCTGGGACACAGGCTGAGGAGGGTACTGAGGCACGGAGCAGGTGGCCCCTCCACTCCCCATGACTGAGGCTGACTTTTCTGGGCACGTGGGCACATGGGCTGGCCCAGCCTGCACTGGTCCCGTGGATGGATGCACAGGGCGAGGCACTGACCCTGCTAGTCAGGCAGGATGCTGGCAGGAGGGCGGGATGAGGAGGGCGGGGCTTCTAGAACAAAGAAAAGGGGAGCCCCGGGGCCCCAGGCCGGGTATCTAAAAGGCGCTGCAGCGTGAGCGGGCCACAGCAGCTGCTGCCTCTGTGCCCAGCCAACAACCGCCCCTCGCTCATCCCTTTTGCCTGCGCCAGACCCCGTGCCGGTGCCACGCTGCTCCGAGAGGCCTCATTCTCCAGCGTGATTGCGCCCACACTGCTCTGGGCTTTTCTCTACTTGGCGTGGGTTGCTGCAGCAGCGGTGCCAGAGGACAGCAGAGGGATGGCCGCGAGCGGAGCCAGGAGCCAGGAGGGCCGCCGGCGCGAGCACGCCTTTGTCCCAGAGCCTTTTGATGGGACCAATGTTGCCCCACACCTCTGGCTGCACCGCTTTGAGGTCATCAGCGACCTCAACAACTGGGACCATGTCACCAAGCTGAGGTTCCTGAAAGAGTCCCTCCGAGGAAACGCTCTGGAAGTCTACAACGGCCTCAGCCGCCATGACCAGGGAAACTACGAGGGGCTGCGGGAGAACCTCCTGAAGGCCTTTGAGGGGTCCGGGGCTGCTCACGGCCACCTGCCGAAGGAGATCGTCTTCGCCTTCAGCATGGGTAAGGGCTACTACCTCAAGGGCAAGATCGGCCAAGTGCCCGTGAGGTTTCTGGTGGACTCCGGGGCCCAGGTATCTGTGGTGCACCCCAGCCTATGGGAGGAAGTCACGGATGGTGACCTGGACACCCTGCGGCCCTTTGAGAATGTGGTGAAGGTGGCCAATGGGGCCGAGATGAAGATCCTGGGCGTCTGGGACACGGTGGTGTCCCTGGGGAAGCTGAAGCTGAAGGCGGAGTTCCTGGTGGCCAATGCCAGTGCCGAGGAGGCCATCATCGGCACCGACGTGCTCCAGGACCACAACGCCGTCCTGGACTTCGAGCACCGCACGTGCACCCTAAAGGGAAAGAAGTTCCGCCTTCTGCCCGTTGGGGGGTCCCTGGAGGATGAGTTTGACCTGGAGCTCATAGAGGAGGAGCCGTCGGATGAAGGCCAGCAGGAATCCTATTAAGAAGCCCCTCCCCACCCTGTTTCCTCACCCCTGCACCCTCCCTCACCAAACACTGGTGAGAAGACCCAGCCCAGTAGAAGAAAAGGGCATCTGTCTGTCTGTCTGTCTGTCTGTCTTCCTGTCTGTCTGTCTATCTGTCTGTCTTCAGGAGTCCTGGGCTCGGCCTTTCATCAGCGACCACAACCTCCCTCCTGTCAGGGGCCCTGATCTGCCCCTGGTAGGGAAAGCTTCCTGCGAAATGGCTCAGGTGAGGAGCAGCAGGCCGCCTTCCTCAGAGGGACGGGGGGTGTCCGAGCTGACAGGAAATCCTCAGTGGCAAAGAGCCGATGGCTGGAAGACGGTGCCAGGCAGGAAGTGACTGCATGTGCGACAAGTCTCCATCAGGTCCCTCAGACTCAGCTGAGCTGTCCTGGGGGCTGTGCTGTCCACCTCAGCTGGGCTGAGTCTGGCTGCAGGGAACTCGGGAGAAAGGCCTGGCTCCCCCCACCAAGGGCTCAGCCACTCCAGGGTTCCCTCTACTGGGTCTCCCCCCCGTACCCTGTACCCTTCCTTCTGTCATTTGCCTGGAACTCTTCCGAGTCTTGGCCTAATAATTCTTCACTTCAAAACCTAATAAAGATTGACTCATGGAAAAACCGTGTCAAGTGTTGATTGAAGATGAATGGGATGGGTGTGAGAGGGTGGGGGAAACAAAGTAAATATCAGAGAAGGAGATTCCAGTGCTTACTGGCTGCCTGGTCTGGAGTGAGGAGAGGGGATTTGGGACTATGTATCTTGAATTCTCTGAGACAGTCTTGATGGAAAATGCTTTGCCTGATTTCTCCTATAATGCCTGTCAGTCTCCAACCTAATCACAATTCCTCTCTTCGTTTCAGCACCCGAGCTTCCTGGGATGCCCAAGTGCGATTGGGCAGGATTGTGATCCTCCAGCTATCTGTGGGCTGCCTCGTGGGGGACTGGAAAATCAGGGTGATTGTAAACAGATGGGGAACGGTCCGCCTGGCAACTAATTTCTTCCAACTGCCGGGAGCGGGGAAGGCAGCAGAAAGCGAGGTCAGAGGACAAGCGTTGGCCTGTGTGGGGAGCTAAGGGAGCCTGAGGACTGAGGTACGGGGGTTCTGGGGGGGCCTGCTTCTCCCTGGAGCGGCTTGGAATGAAGCCCCAAGGCAGAGAGGCAGGATGCCGTCGGGAGGGCATTCCTGAATCCAGAATGAGGTGTCTGTCTCTTTGGGGGCCCACCTTGTGTTGGCTTCCAAGCTCCTGCCTGCGTTTCTGGAACTTGGCAGGATGAGGAATCAGAAAACGAAACAAAATCCAAATGAAATTTGAATTTTGGAGAGGCCGGGAGCGTGACCTCCTCATGGGAGGTGGGAAGGGCCATCCTTCCTGAGGGAGGACAATGGATCCACGGATCCACGTAGGGGAGAGACCCACCGTCCCTGGGGCAGGGCAGAGCCTATCAACTGGCCCCTAGAAGCCCCTCGGGGGCTCAGAGCCCCCCTCCTGGGTCCAAGGCTGCCTGATTACAGAGGCCCCACCTCCTCAGGAGGGAAGTGGGGGCGCTGGAGGAGACATTCCAGGTCAGTTTCTCAGCCCCTCACTGGGCTGCCTTCTCTCTCCTGAATCAAGGTGGGGCGGCCCCACCCCTTGACCTATTTTCCTCTGTGTCCCTCAGGTCCTGGGAAGGGTGGGGAGACAGGCAGGGGAGGGGGATCCGTGCCAGAATTCCAGGGTGGCGCCTACATTGTCCCCTTCCTGCCCTTCCTCAGGTCAGCAAGGAACCAGAACCGGGTGACCTGTGTCAGCAGCCCTGGCTCTGTCCTAGGGGGTAGGGTGGGAGGCCTTCAGGTGGGGTTGGGGGCTCAGTGGGAGGCAGGGATGGTTCTGACTGCAGGCCTGGGGCAGTGGGCACTGTGAGGTGGGTCTTTGGCCGGTATGTGTGGGGAGACCAGGCTGCACCCTGCTGACGTGGGGTTTGCCTCCCAGGAGAGTGGCCTGGGGCAGACTTTGAGGACTTTGCGCTTGACTTGCACTCGGGAGCGGGGGCTCCGTGGGCATCTGCCTTGGGAGGAAACTAAAGTGCTGTTTACTCTGGCTGGGGAGAGGGGGCCGATGTCCCCATGCAGAGAACACAGGGGCTGCGGGCATCGAGAAGGCTAATCCCGCCCACACAGCAGCTGCACCTGCCGGCTCCAGCACGGACTCTGCATCCCCGCGTCTGAGTGCTGACAGCAGGGTCACAGCCCCTGGTCTACAGCCCAGGTGTAGCTGCTCACCTTGTGACCTCCAGGGCGAGTCCCAGACCTACAAAAGGGCAGTACCAGCTGGAGCTGGTTTGAAGCAGGACTCTCAGCCCCAGAGCTGGGCTCGCCCTTGCACGCAGCTCAACAGGTTCGATCCTCAGCACGTGGTCCCCTGAGCAAGCACAGAGCCAGGAGTAGTCGCCAGCACTGATGGCTGGGACCCAAATCCCCAACACTGCCCCGTCCCCCACCGTACCCAAACAAAAACAGAGTTGTTTCAGCCCCTGTCCCAGGCCTGCACCAGAATCTGTATTGCATGAAGTCTCCAGGGGATTCTGATGCAAAGTCCTGCCTAAGAACATTTTGGTTCCTCTAGTTGTGTGTGTGTGTGTGTTTCTTGTTCATCTTGCTTGTTGTTTTATGTTTTGAGGGGTAGGGGAGTGTTTTCAGCCTCACCTGGCTGTACTCGGAGATCCCTCCTGACCGTGCTCAGGAGATCATATGTGGTGTAAAGGACTGAATCTGGGCCAGTGGTGTGCAAGACAAGAGCCTTCCCCACTGCAACATCTCTCTAGAGCCCCAAATATTAACCTCTTAACAGTTAACTTTATCATTGTCATTCTCCATACGAACTGTTTCAAAATTGCACCGACCATATATATTAACCTCTAAATACACTGTCAGTTTCCTAAAGAAGGTATTACTGGGGCCAGAGCGAGAGCACAGCAGGTAGGGCGTTTGCCTTGCACGCGGCCGACCCGGGTTTGATTCCCAGCATCCCATATGGTCCCCCGAGCACTGCCAGGAGTAATTCCTGAGTGCATGAGCTAGGAGTCACCCCTGTGCAACTCTGGGTATGTGACCCGAAAAAAAAAAAAAGGAATTACCCTCTAGAACCACATACAACAGGGGTGGGGATTGTTTATCTGCCCAGGGGGAGTGGATATTTACATCATTCACAGGCCAAGGGCAGATGGACCATGGGCAGCTGCCGAGAGGCATAGCGTCTCGCCTGGCATGGGCCAGGGCTAGAACACATGATTTCATGGGCCAGATGCTTCCCACCACTGACATGCCATGATCAAACTCAAAAAATCAGCACTGATGCTACACTCTGACCTAATTTGGAGGGGCCCTTAAATTTTCCCAGCTTTCCCACGCATGGTCCTTATAGCAAAACATAGCAGTTTTTCCCCGCCCAGGATCCAGTCCAGACTCCTGGGCCTTCCCTTTTCAGTTTCTTTTCATTGGGTGGGAGGCGGGGAGCGGGGCGAGGGTTGAACCTCACTTGGTGAGGCTCAGGGCTTATGTCTGACTGTGCATTCAGGGATCACTTCTGGAGGGGCTCGATGATGCCAGGGATCAAACCGGGTTTGGCTGCGCACATGGTAAATGCTTTAACCCTGCTCTGTCTTCCTGGCCCTTAGTCTCTCTCAATTTCCACAAGTTTCTGTCCTCATTTTTGTGACCTTGGTAGTTAAGAGAACTGCTAGCTCTGTTGTCGAATAACTTGATGTGGGGGATGATTTCTCCGGGTAGACCCGAGATTCCGCATCCTTGCCAGGAAGATCTAGAAGTGGTATGTGACCCTCTCAGGCCCCGTCACGGTCACATTAGTTCTTATTCATCAGTCACAGTGATGTCTGCCAGGAGCCTCCACTGTAAATTCTCTTCCTGGCATGGAGATTAATTAATGAGTGGTTTTAATTACTGATGATTTAATTAGTGTTGATTTTCGAGGTGGGAACTCTGGGGCTCTGCCCCCACCAGCTGGTCTCCCACCGGACCCCATGATGACCCATAGTGCTCCTCCCAGCCGTTCCGTGGACGTTTATTAACTGGTGTTCACGGTTCTATTGGTTTGGTTTTGTCTGAGCTGCCAGGCAGAGAACCCAGGGCTCACACACACAAGGCAACCTCTGCGTCTGAGCCCCTCCCCGGCCTTAGGACTTCAAGCCTAAAAATAGTATTTCCCTTCCTGTTTAGTATTGATTGTAGATTCCCAAATTTTTATTTAGTGAGTGATAGCTGTTGCGTATTGGTCTCATGACTCCTCTGATGTACTTGTTTAGCATTTGGTCTCAGAAGCCTCCTCAGACTGGCTCTTATCAGGGAGGGAACACAGAAGATAGGGTGTTTGCCTTGCACGCAGCCAACCCAGGTTCGATTCCCAGCATCCCATATGGTCCCCAAGCACCGCCAGGAGTAATTCCTGAGTGCAGAACCAGGAGGAACCCCTGTGCATCGCTGGGTGTGACCCAAAAAGAAAAAAAAAATGAAAACAAACAAAACCAGACTGACTCTGATCCTCCTGGGACATGACCTGGGTACTGCCTTACTTTCTGTTGCAAGAAATAACAGCTTCATCTTGTTCCTTCCCTGCACCCGCCCTGGAATCCACCATTTCTCTCAGGAGCCCTGGTTCTTATGAGTTTGGTATTCAAGACCTGGGTGTTAGGTGTGTTCGTTGCTCTTGATTCCTTCCAGGTCTTCTCATAGCTAAGAGAAAAACTCCAGTCCATCTCTAGGTAGATCTCCAGAGACACAAGAAGATGCACACATGCACTGACACCTCCCTTCTGGCCCCCGCCTTTGGGTTTGTCCAAGCCACCCCCTCATTCCCACAAGGAGAAACCTGGCTCCAGGTTACCTATTTGCTCAATCACAGAATGCTCAGAAAGTAGTTTCAGAATTGCTAGCCCTATGCCTTATGAAAAACAAACCTAGAAACAACCAGGTATTAGTCACCGGCTCAGGGC